TCCTGCTCCTCCCCATCATTCCTCCTCCTTCTTTTCTTTACTCAACCCCACCTCTCCGCTTCATGGCGTCACTCACAAATCTAGTTGCGAACGCAGCTCCGCAACCAGTTTTGCGAGCAGCCTCCTGATAAGAGACATTACTCGCAAATCTAAATGTGAACGCCGCTCCACACCTAGTTTTGTGAGTAAGGTGTTGCTCCTCACCTTCGTCATGCTCCTCACCCTCCTCTTTTTCCTCCTCCTGCTCCTCCTGCTCCTCCCCCCATTCCTCCTCCTTCGTTTCTTCACTCTACCCCCACCTATCCGCTTCGCGGCGTCACTCGCAAATCTAGTTATGAACGCAGCTCCACAACCAGTTTTGTGAGCAGCCTCCTGCTGCGAAACATTACTCGCAAAACTAGCTGCGAACGCCGCTCCACACCTAGTTTTGTGAGTAAGGTGTTGCTCCTCACCTTCGTCATGCTCCTCACCCTCCTCTTCTTCCTCCTCCTACTCCTCCTGCTCCTCCCCCCTCCTCCTTCTTTTCTTCACTTTACCCCCACCTCCCCGCTTCGTGGCGTCACTCGCAAATCTAGTTGTGAACGCAGCTCCCCAATCAGTTCTGCGAGCAGCCTCCTGCTACGAAACATTACTCGCAAAACTAGCTGTGAACGCCGCTCCACACCTAGTTTTGTGAGTAAGGTGTTGCTCCTCACCTTCGTCATGCTCTTCACCCTCCTCTTCTTCCTCCTCCTACTCCTGCTGCTCCTTCCCCCTCCTCCTTCTTTTCTTCACTTTACCCCACCTCTCCGCTTCGTGGCGCCACTCGCAAATCTAGTTGCGAACGCAGCTCCCCAATCAGTTCTGCGAGCAGCCTCCTGCTACGAAACATTACTCGCAAAACTAGCTGTGAACGCCGCTCCGCACCTAGTTTTGTGAGTGATGTATTCCTCCTCACCCCCGTCATGCTCCCCACCCTCCTCTTCTTCCTCCTCCGACTCCTCCTGCTCCTCCCCATCCTTCCTCCTCCTTATTTTCTTCACTCTACCCCCACCTCTCCGCTTCATGGCGTCAGTCACAAATCTAGTTGCGAACGCAGCTCCGCAACCAGTTTTGCGAGCAGTCTCTTGATAAGAGACATTACTCGCAAAACTAAATGTGAACGCCGCTCCACACCTAGTTTTGTGAGTAAGGTGTTGCTCCTCACCTTCGTCATGCTCCTCACCCTCCTCTTCTTCCTCCTCATACTCCTCCTGCTCCTCCCCCCTTCCTCCTCCTTCGTTTCTTCACTCTACCCCCACCTCTCCGCTTCGTGGCGTCACTCGCAAATCTAGTTATGAACGCAGCTCCACAACCAGTTTTGCGAGCAGCCTCCTGCTACGAAACATTACTCGCAAAACTAGCTGTGGACGCCGCTCCACACCTAGTTTTGTGAGTAAGGTGTTGCTCCTCACCTTCGTCATGCTCCTCACCCTCCTCTTCTTCCTCCTCCTACTCCTCCTGCTGCTACGGCTCCTGATCACTCAGCCCCCTCCTCTCCACTTCGAGGCGTTACCCTCCAATCTAATTGCGAATGCAACTCCACAACAAACCTTGCGAGCAACCTTCCGCTACGAATCATTATTCACAAAACTTGTTGCGAACGCCGCTCCACAGCTAGGAAGAGGCGGTGGAAAATGGGGGAGGATGTTGCTCAACTATGGCTGGCGCCACTGGAGCTCGGCATTCACCAGATGACGCGGAGGAGGAGGAGGAGAACAAGGGGCTCAATTTTGAGGAGTAGGGCAAATATGGTTTGGAGGAGAAGGTGGAGGAGGAGGTGGTGGAGGGGGAGAAGGAGGAGACGATGAGCAGGAGGACAAACATTGGGAGGAGGAGGAGAAGGAGGAGGAGGAAGAGGTGAATGAGGATTCGGAGAAGGAGGAGAAGGAAGAATAGTAGGAGGATTCTGATGAGGAGGACAAACATGAGGGAGAGCTTGAGGAGAAGTTAAAGAAGGAGGAGGGGAAGAGAAGCAGGAGGAGGACAATGAGTTTAAATTTGCGGAATCGGGATAGGAGGAGGACAACATGCCGAAGAGGAGATGGAGGAGAATTCAGAGAAGGAAGATGAAGAGGACAAGGAGGAGGAGGAGGAGGAGGAAGAGGAGGACAAGGAGTTTGAAAGTGAGAGGGGGTAGGAGGAGGAGAATGATGAGGACAAACATGAGGAAGAAGTGGATGAGGATTCATAGAATGAGGAGGACGAGGGGAAGGAGAAGGAAGAGGAGGAGGAAGAGAAGAGTTGAGGCCAATGCATTTGATTTTGAAGCGGAGGGGGAAGAAGACAAACATAAGGAGGAAGAGGATGTGGAGGAGGATTGGGAGACGGTAGAGGAGGAAAATGAGGAGGAGGACGAGGAGGACAAGGCGTTTGGTATCGAGGAGGAGGAGGAAGAGGAGGACGAGGAGGAGAGGACAATTATGAGGAGAAGGTGGAGAAAGCTTCAAAGAAGAAAGATGAGAAAGAGAAAGAGAGGGAGGGGGAGCTTGAGGTTGAGAAGGAGTAGGATGCTGAGGAGGAGGAGGAGGAGGAGGAGGGGCATCATAAACATGAGATGGTGAGATTGGATTGCAATGCGCCGCGAAAGACTGAAGTCGCTTCGCGCTGAAGCGTTTGGATTGCAATCGACGGAATTGCGGTTTGCAACGTAGCAAACCATCATGAAGAAAAACAGGAGGAAGGAACGGGTTATGATGACTGGAGGGATGATGGGAGAATGTGTATGATATATATATATATATATATATATACATACATATAAATATATATATGAAATCATACTATCCCAGGGGGAACCGATAAGTCCGGGGGGGGGTAGAGTCTACTCTTTTTAACAAGGAGAATTCACTTTTACTGTCTTGAAGCTGTCCCCATCCACTGCTCGTGCAAACATCCCACCCTCCCACCCGCAACTTGGTCGCAAGACTTCTTAAGACCGTGACGGTGGGTACCAAATGGCACTTGGCAGCGACAGCGACGCCGACGACGACAGCGACAACGACCACGACGACTACGCCGACGACGACTACGCCGACACCGACGACGTCTCCGACGATTTCGACGACAACGACAACGACGACGACGACGACGGCGACGGCGACACCGACGACGACGACGACGACGACGCCGACGACGACGACGACGATGACGACGTCGACGACGACGACGGCGACGACGACGCCGACGACGAGGACGACGACGACGACGACGTCGACGCCGACGCCGACGTCGACGACGACGATGACGACATCGACGACGACGACGAAGAAGACGACGACGACGCCGCCGACGCCGACGACGACGACGACGAGGGAGGAGGGAGGACTAGGACGGCGACAACGACGACAACGACGAGGGAGGAGGGAGGACGGCGACGACGCGAACGACGAAGAAGGTGGGAGGACGGCGACGCCGACGACGACAACGACGAGGGAGGAGGGAAGACGACGACGACGACGACGACAGCGACGAAATAGGAGGGACGACGACGAAACGCCGACGACGGACGACGACGACGACGACGACGACGACGACGACGAAAAGGGAGGAGGGAGGACGGCCACGTCGACAACGACGACGGAAACGACGACGACGCCAAAGAGGACGACGACGACGACGACGACGAGGAAAGACAGAGGACGACGACGGCGACGACGACGACGAGGGAGGAGGGAGGACGGCGACGACGACGACGACGACGATGCAAGAGCACGCGCGCACGGTTGTGTTGAAAATCCGTGTTGAGAAACCCTGTGTTTTTGTATGTTTTAGGGGCACACGATTTTGAAATCCTTCCGAAACCGAAGATCATTGAAGGATGTCGGCATGCGCGCGCGACGACGCGCGCGCGTGCACTTCGTCCATCTTTTTGCAGAGTATTCTCGCGATGGCACGCGCGCAAGGGCGATCGAACGATTTCAACAAGCGCGCGCTTTACTATGGTTTTCTCAAGATTTCGCAAGAGCACGCGTGTCAGCTTTTTTTGAAAATCAGTGTTACGAAACCCTGTGTTTTTGTATGTTTTTTGAAAACCCAATTTTGAAATCCTTCCGAAACCGAAGGTGTTTGAAGGACTTCGGCATGCGCGCGCAATGACGCGCGCGTGTGCACTCCGTCCCATTCCTACAAAAGATTCTCGAAAACGGAAGATTTGTGATAAACGAGTGCGCGCGCATAGTATGTTTTGCAGAGGATGGCGGGGGGGGTCGATACCGGCCTGGCTGGGATACTATGAACTCATATTTGGGATGGACGATGGGGCAGAATCGTATGCAAATTGCAATACGAAAAGGTGTACAGTTAACTCTGGGGGGGAGGGTAGAGTCTATTCTTCTTTCAGACAGGAGAATATATGCGACGGCCACGGCGGCGACGGCGGCGACGGGCGGCACCGCTCGCAAAAACCACCACTCGGCCCGAGCGGCGGCGACTTGAGATCCGACGTTTCGGAAAAAAAAAAAAAAAAAAAAAAAAAAAAAAACAAAAAAAAAAAAAAAAAAATGAAACCATAGACCCCATCTTTCTGGGTCACTTTGCAAGCGGGATCGACATGTGAGGGTCCCCGGGCCCCAAAGAAAGCAAAATCCCCCGCTGTGAAAAAATGCAACGCCAGGATCTCAGGGTTGGGCTAACACGCGTTCTGATGATCACCGAGCCGAGCACCTGGATGGCGTACACGCTGGCTCTTGTGGCCTGGGCCACTGCAGTGACCGCTGTGCCTTGCAACAGTTGCAAGGTGGTTGCCACCCACTTGCAGGGCGCCTGCAAGTGGGTCGCAAGTCCGCCTGGCTGCTCCAAGTAGGGTCCGCGACCAACTCAGGTTTGGAGCAATTAGCTGGACGTGCAGTACATTTGCCAGCGCCCTGCAAATGTGTGGCAACCACTTTGCAACTGCTGCAACTGTTGCAAGTCGAACCGACCACTACGGTACAAGACTTCGCGCACGCGTGCGGTCGGCGTTGTTCCCAGGTCTCCAGGGCCGGCAGGGGGCATGGCGGGGGCGGCCGGGTCTCCAGCGCCTGCCTGGCGGCCGCCTCCAGCTCCGCGATCTGCGACTTGAAGCTGATGGTCTCGGCCTCCCGCTTCCGCTTCTGCTCCTCCACTTCCAACTGAGCGGTCTCGATCTGGGTCTTCCACTGTTGCTCCTTCCACTCCAGGGCGTTGGCCAGCACGTTCTTTTCCTCCTCCACGTTCTTCAGCCTGTCCTTCACGGAATCGAGGTCACTGCCACCCATTGAACTGCCCTGATCGCTGCCCATGTTCCTTAGCAGCTTCTCCCGCAGCTCGTCCAGCTCCCTCTTGTGATTCTTGTCCTGGGCAGCCACCTGTGAACCTTATCCCTGCAAGTCAGAGACTTCTGATGCAACGACGGAGGCTCAGACGCTGAAGGACGTCTGAAGCCGAGTGGACCCCAACGGGGGTGTCCGCTACCCTGGCGCCGACTGGACACGCAGGGGTAGGGTTCGCAAGCGGCCCGATGTGTCCTCTGTCGCTAGCGCGTGCTTGAGGTCCTCTATCCTTGGGGAAAGCAAGAGGTACCGATACCGCTGCTCCCCTGACCTCTCCTGGGGTGAGCTCTGACAGGAGTTCCGAAGCGAACACAGCGGTGGCGACGAGGGCCTCCCAGGAAGCTCGAGAGGGCGAGCGCGAGGGAAGGGCAGCGGCATCGGTGCCTCTTCCTTCTCCGAATCCTGGCGTAGGCGATCCTGTTGGCCTCCTTGAGGGTCGCGACCTGCTCCCTCAGCAGGTCGTTCTCGGCTTCCTTGTCCTGCCTGTCGTCCTCCGCCTCCGGCAGGAAGGCCCAGAATCGAATCGGCAAGTCGGATCGGCGTTCGGAATGAATCTGGGGACACGAAGGGACACACCGGTACTGTATGCCTCTGTTGGAGACGCACGTCCGAACCGAACATCTAATACAAACGCCTGAAAATACATGTGTGTCTATCTAAGTATATGTGTATATATATATACATAAATACATATATATATACATGTATCTATATACATAAATATACACACGCATGCATGCATGCATGCACGCACGCACACATACATACATACATACATACAGACAGACAGACAGACAGACAGACAGACAGACATACATACATACATACATACATACATACATAAATACATAGATACCTACATACATACATACATACATACATACATACATACATGCATACATACATACATACATGCATACATACCTACACACACACATACATGCATACATACATACATACATACATACATACATACATACATACATACATACATACATACATACATACAGATAATCATAAATACATATATATGTGTATATGTATGTGTATATATACATATGCATATACATATTTATATATATACGTATCATTGACCAAGCGGTATGGCCAAAAAGCGCCCGCCACCGAGCATACGACATCAGACTTCCGAGCGCGCGCGTCGCCCCTTCGGGGGCGACCCACGCCTAGCACAAGTACGTCTAGGCGAAGCCGAGCCAAGTCGGGAGAAGCCGAACCGGCGGAAATCGGCAGGCTAGCCAGGCCTCCATGCTGAGAAACCGAAAGCGACCTAGATCGAGTCGGAATCGATCGACATCGAATCAAATCGAGTCGGAGAGGAGGAGGTGCCGCTCCCGGCCAGGCGCCGCCGCCGTCTCTCCGGGGCCGAGAGCCGCAGAAGCCACGCGGCCCCCGCATGGTGCGCCTCAGGGTGAGAGTGGCTCCTTCGCTTAGGTCGGGCATGTCCCCCATACAGGTCGATTTTCGACGAAAACATTTAATGCTCAATAAAAAATCCAAAACTGGGAAAAAATACTTGAAGAATCGTCCCCTGACGAATTTTCTACTATTTGTGAATATTCCTCCTGTCGCCCTGCATACCGCGGCCGCCAGATACCTAGGCTCCCGACAATCCCTGGTGGTCCCGCCCCCCGCGCCGACTCGCCCACTCCACATACCGCGGCCGCCAGATCCCCAGGTCCCCCACAGAACAGAGCATAACACCACACCGCCGAACAGAACATATCTGAGCGTAACATACCATATTATGACATACCATATCACAACACAAAATACCATGACAAAGCAGTGCAGATCATGGCACAGCATCACAGCACATATTATTCCACACCATGACACATCAATCATACCATGACAAAGCGACGCAGAGTTGATCATACCAACACACAACAAGCCACACTATCACGTAACATGACATCTCATGTCGTAGTGCAACACTGCATAGCAACGCATGCTATGACAGATCGGAGCATACATAACACAACATAAAAGAGCAGAACATAGCATGGCATAACACTGGCTGAGACCACCGCGCCCCGCGCACATCGTTCCAATGAGCGCGCACACCTTCGGGAACAAACGCCGAAGGGTTCAGTGTGCAACGTCGGATCTCACGGAACCCCTAGCCTTTCGGGAGCGGGCCTGAGTTAAGAGGCCCAAAGCATGAGGGAGAGGTGGTCTTTTCAGCAGAGGTACCAAGGCAAGCCACCCAGGCTGACCATCCCAAATGCAACGACGATGGCCTACGCTTGGCCTCAAGGGTTCTTTTATTCTCGACGAAGGGAGGTCCGCAGTGGACGACAGGTTCGAAGTTCGAGGTCTTTGGACGTTCTCGTCGGTTCACCGCGGTTTCCCAGCCTCGGGATGCCCTCCAACACCTGCGCCTCGTCGAGAGCTTCCCGGGGGTGCCCGGATCGTCGCGAACGGCCGCGGCAGACCTGAGCTCCGGCCTGAACATCCACATCTCCGACGGTATGGTTTTTTCGACCAGCGGCGTTTCTTTGATTTGGGCCTCGATTCCTTAAGACGCCTTTTTTTGAAGGATTTCGTATTCATGTTTTCACATCAAGGAGTCGAGGACGGAGTTTCTTCAAGGAGTCCTTGATAAAGGATTCCTTCGCTTCGACCCATTTACTAAGAATTGTTTTCTTAAGGTTTTGTGATGAGGGTTCCTCGTAGAAATTTATTCATGTCAAGGAAAGCTCAGGGTGGTGTCCCCAATGGGCGTTTCTGACCGAGGACTCTTGACCAATGACTCCTCATTAAATATTCCTCGCAGAGGGTCCTAGATCAAGAAGCTCGCACTACTGATTCATGCTAACTAAGCCCCATTCAAGGGGGAAAAGAAATAACAACAACAAAAAAAACTTGCCACTCAAGACCACACACGAATTATCTTCGATATTACTGTAACGTTGAAAGACTTATGATGGCAATGTTCTTAGTAGCGAACCCTTCGTAAGCGATCCTTAGTCAAGACTCCTTTCTTGCTAGGATAATCTTAGACAGCGCTGACCCCAAACAGTAGGTTCTTGCAGTCTGTGCGGTGCAATCTACGTGGGGCATATCCACTCTGCTGAACGAACAATCGTCATATCCGCTTCTCGCGCAAACATCCCACCCTCCCACCCGCAACTTGTTTGGCCAAACTCATGATGCGGGGGACGGCGGCGCCACCGATGACGACATCGATAATAACATCCTCACCGCCGATGCTCGTCACCGTGAGTCGATGACGAAGGTGAGCACATCGACGATACTCGGACGTACAAGAAGACAAGATGACGTCGACAACGTCTGCGACAATGACGAAGATGGCACCAGCGACGACGATGTTTCAGAGGGTGACGGCACGAACGATAACGGCGCAAATGATGGCAAACACGTTGACGATGCTGATGTCCATCTGTCGATGAGGCAGGTGATCGCGGTCATGCTGATAAGGTTGACAAGAAAATCCGCGCGCGCAAAAGCACAACAAATCCGTCAGACAGATCATGCACGCGCGGCGGTGCGCGCATGTGGCCCGCATGGTATGTTTTGCAATGAACTTGCGCCCTCGGCGCATGACAAGAGTATCGCGGGTGCACCGCGCGGTGACATGAAATCGCTGGATTTGACAGAAACCATCAGAATCCTATGATTTTTGTAAGATTTTACCATGAGCGCGGGGACAAGAAATTTGCAAAACATGTGTTGCAAAACCCTTGGGTTTGTTTTTAGGTTGTAATGCTGAAATGCTTACAAACACATTGTGTTTGGTACGATTTTGACATGGACACGCGCACCATGATTTTGTGTTATTTTTTTGCACAGTATTAAAAAATGCTTCCTTAAAATGAAGAAGTGTGCGCGCATCCTATGTTTTGCAGAGGAAGGGGGGGGCGATACCGGCCTGGCTGGGATAATGATAGTTCAGATGTAGCACACACGTGGGGCAGAATCATGTGTTAATTGCAATACAAAAATCGAGAAGGCTGACCCAAGCGGCCAGGTCGAGCAAGCGGGTTGCTGAAGCGCCATTACTACATGAATCGCGCTGAAAGTTCTAGCGATAGCGCGATGCCCAATTAAATCGCGCGGGAATCCACAGCGAGAGCGTGATTCATGAGCGTCGAGGGCGCAGCGTCTGAATAAATTGACAGGAAGTCTTACGCAAGAGCGCGATTTTGCATCAATTGTGAGGACGCCCCGCGCGAGAGCGCGATTTGGGAATACATTGTAAAGAAATATCAAGCTGAAGCCGTTGTTGTTCTAACTCGGGGGCCAGGGGCCCAATTCTGAGACCCAAGACTTTCCCTGATAAAACACCGGGTGCGAGCCCCAGGAAGGGCCCTTCAATTGAAAAATAACAGTGTGCCCCGGAGGGGGGGGGGTCAACCTTAATGATTCCCCACTCGTGAAAATTCAACAACCACAACAACAACAGCAACAACAACAACAACAACAATCAGTTTAAGACTGTTCGCCCTTATCTGCTCGAGTGTCCAATAACGCATATTTCCCTAACCCTCGATACCCGCCCTCTTCGTCTTCGATCGAACCCCTCTTGGGGGGTATACCTTTCTTCCATGCAGGCCGGGTCCCGGCAAGCGGCGGGGCGGCCGCGGACCGTCGGCCTGGCCAGCGGCAGCGCTGATCGGCGGGGCGGCCGCGGACCGTCGACCCGACCCCAAGAGGGACGGACAGGGGACCGACCACGACGACGACGACGACGTCGACGACGTCGGCGACGACGACGACGACGGCGACGACGAGCGAAAGCGAGAGCGAGAGAGAACGACAACAGGGCCACGAAGGACACGAAGTAGGCCACGAAGGGCGACAGCGGCGACACGAAGGGAATGTGTATGGGGCCACGAAGAGCGCGAACGAGCGGGGGCCACGAAGGGCAGATAATGCGGGGCCACAGAAGGCAACGATGGGGCCACTGAGGGTAGCAACTGGGCCACGTAGGACTATGAGGGGGCCACAAGCGGCGACAGCGGGGCCACGAAGGGCATGCACATGAGACCACAACGGGTGCGACTCCTGGGTGCCTGGGTGTCGGGAGCGCGGCGGTTGAGCAAACTGCAAGAAAATTCCACGCAAAGGTGCTATTTTTTGGTCAATTGCAAGCAAGTCTCCAGCGAGAGCGCGACTCCAGAGCGCCGGGAGAGCGATTCCTGAATAAATTGTAAGGAAACCCCAAGCGAGAGCGCGATTCCTGAATAAAATGCGAGGAAGTCTCGGGCGGGAGCGGGGGTCCTGGCTAAATTGTGAAGGAGTCTCAAAGGGGAGCAGTTGTTGTTGTAACCCGGGGGACAGGGGCCCAGTTTGAGCAGGAAGACTTCCCCTGTCAAAAAGCAGTGTGCGAGCGTCGAGGGGCACACTTTGATTGAGAAAAAGCAGCATGCACCGGTGGGGGAATCAACAATAATTACTCTTCAGAAATGGGATTTCAACCACAACAACAACAACAACAACAACAACAACAACAACAACAACAACAACAACAACAACAACAACGACGACGACGACGACGACGACGACGACGACAACTACAACAACAACAACAACAAGAACAACAACAACAACAACAACAACAACAACAACAACAACAACAACAACAACAACAACAGCAACAACAATAACAACGACAACGACAACGACAACAACAACGACAACGACAACGACAACAACAACAACCACAACCACAACCACAACAACAACGACAACAACAACAGCAACCACAACAGCTACAACAAGCCTTACTACACTTACAATAACAACAACAATAACAACAATAACAAAAACAACAAGAAGAACAACAACAACAACAACAACAACAACAACAACAACAACAACAACAACAACAATAGCAGCAATAACAACAACAACAACAACAGCAACAACAACAGCAAGCATGTTAACCTCATGCGCCATTTTTTCTACATACCACATGCATCCATCATGATGTCACCCCCTCTTGGGGGAAACATATGGAAAATAGGGCCGATATTCCCACACCCAGGTCTCCCGCCCAAGGAGGTCGAGCCACTACCTCTCCCGAGGCACTTTCCCACTTTCAGCTCGCACGGAACAAAAAAACAGTGCGACTTTGGGGAGCGGTGAGAATTGGAAACACGAAGGCTTCGAGCCCCAGGAGAAGGGCAATCTGCAGGAACAGACGTAAACAACAATGGATCCGAGCACCAAAGAAGGACCAATCTTCAGAAGCATACGGAAAGCACAAGGGATCCGAGCCCCAGTCGAGAGGCGATGTATAGGAACATACGTAAACCACAGAACGGAGTCGATCCCCAGAAGAGGGGCAACATATGAATATATGCGTTAAACACGCTGGGTTCGAGCCCTAGGCGGGGGGCGGCTAAGCCAATGGGGGCCAAGTATACCCTACAGTGGACCGAAAAGCATCCCCCGAACGCAGGTACCTAAACATGTGCCTCCTGGGGCCTCTTGGGGCTTTCTGGAGCCTCCTGGGGGCGGGAGGGCCGAAAAAAGCGCTCCCCGAACACGGATCCAAACACAAATACAAGTGCCTCCGGAGTCTTCCTGGAGCCTCCCGGGAGCGCAGGGGGCCCGAAAAGCGCTCCCCGAACACACACACACACACACACACACACACACACACACAGACACACACAAACACACACACACACACAAACAAACAAACACCGAAAAAGGGCGCCTGGGGCCTCCCGGGGGCGGGGGCCGAAGACAGACCCCGAGCACACACCCCGGCACGAAAAGATCAATCCAGGGGCCACCTGGGGCATCCCAGGAGCGTGGGGGGAGGAGGAGGAGGAGGAGGAGGAGGAGGAGGAGGAGGAGGAGGAGGAGGAGGAGGAGGAGGAGGAGGAGGAGGAGGAGAAGAAGAGGACAGGAGGAGAAGGAGGAGAAGGAGGAGGAAGAGGAGGAGGAGGAGGAGGAGGAGTATCCCAATACGGAAAAAAACTGCTCCTGGGGCCTCCTGGGGGCGGGCAGGCCGAGAAACGCTCCCCGAACACGCCCCTGTCCGGATGCCTCCCCCGCCGACCAAGTAGCAAGACTACTTTTAAGTCGGGCATGCCCCCCTACAGGGGGATTTTCGACGAAAAATTAATAGATACCCCAAAAAAACTCAAAAAAGTTCAAAAATAGTCTGGGGACTATTCTTCAAATATGTTTTGACCCTTTGGGAATATGTTTGGAGTATTTTTTATTTCTCGTCGAAAATCCCCGTGTAGGGGGACAGGCCCGACTTAAGACTACTTTGACGGATTCCCCTGTGCTGCCGAGCTGCAAAAAGGTCTCCAGCGAAACGGCCGCTCCGGCATCCACGAGTAGCAGCAAGAATACTTTGACGGACCTCATTCGAGTGCTGACTGGCGAAGAAATCTCAGGCAGAAAAGCCGTTCAGACATCCACGAGTAGCAGCAACCTGGTTCTGAAGGACCCCCGCGTGGTGCTAAACTGAGAAGAGGTCCCGAGCAAAACGACCATCCCGACACCCGGAAGTGGCGGCTTGACTGGTCTGAAGGACCCCTATGCGGTGCGCTTAAAGGCACGGAAGTCTCGGGCGAGAGCGCCTTTCCTGAGGTCCGGGCCGGGCCCTCTCTGGCGAGGGCCTCTCGGAATACATTAAGACAAGTATCGCACGGGAGCGTCGTTGTTAATGGGGGTCAGTTTGGGTGGCACCCTAAAACGCTTGAGCGTGAGCCTCAGTTCCAAAGGCAATGCGGCTGGCGCCTACTCGAGAGCGCCAATGCGCCTACAGGGGGTACAACAAAAAAATAAATGGTCAGTAAGTAAACTCAACGGCAACAGCAACAGTAATTGTAAGACTGTTCGTTCTTTTCTGCCCGAGTGTCACTCGACATGCATATCGTATGTCCCAAACCTCGATACCCGCCCTCTTCGTCTTCGATCGTACCCCCCTTTGGAGCAAATCTTCCTTACCTGCCACGTGCAATTGGCCAAGCCCCTAGGACACAGGAAGGGAGGAGGGATGGGGACAACGGGGAGGAGGAGGAGGAGGAGGAGGAGGAGGAGGAGGAAGAGGAAGCGGATGAGGAGAAGGAGGAGGAGGAGGAGGAAAGGATGGAGCACGACAGGGATTGGCAGGAGGGGGTCCGAGCAGAAAGACAACAAGCGGCAGAACCAGATGGGAGGGTCGGGCGGACGGCGGAATCGGGCGGGCGGGCCCAAGCGGCGGCATCGAGCGGGCGCGGGTCGCTGCAGCGTGTCAGTCCTGCATGGTTCGCGAGGAAGTCTCTAGCGATGGCGCGATTCCCCAGTAACACACGTCAAGAGCGGATAGGAAGAAGTGAGAACGGGGAGGAAGAGGATGGAGAACGAGAGAGATTACCAGGAGAGGGGCTAAGAACAAAAAACACCTGGCAAAATCAAACGGGCGGGTCGGGCGGACGGACCCTATCGGGCGGGCCAGGTTGCTGAAGCGTCAGTCCTGCACGATTCGCGAGGAAGTCTCGAGCGATGGCGCGATTCCCCAGTCAATCGTGAGGAGGTCCCGAGCGAGAGCGTGGTTCCTGAGTGTCGAGGACGCGGCACCACAATACATTGAGCGGAAGTACCACGCGAGAGGGCAATTCGTGGGTAAAGCGTGAAGAAGTTCAGCGCGAGAGCGCGATTATGAATAGATTGTGAGGACGTATCAAGCGGAAGCCGTTGTTGTGGTAGTTCGAGGGCCAAGCGCGCATTCTGAGGCCCAAGACTTCGCCTTGTAAAAACAAGGTGCGAGTCCCAAGAGGAGCACTTTAATTTATGGAAAAAAACAAGGCGCACTGGAGGGGGGATGGACAATAGTTATTCTTGTATATGAAAACTCAACAACCGCAACAAACAACAAACAAGCATAATCCAGGCAACGGAATCCCGCTTCACTCACGCACCCAGGGATGGTGTAAAATGGTTCGGCCCCCTGACCCTGACTAATCACGTGAGGATCCTGAGCTGGAGGACGAAGGAAGTATAAGGAGGAGGAAGAGGTGGAGGTGGAGCCTTCGACTGCACCCCGCAGCGAGCCGTCGCCTCCTCGGCCTCTCTGCTGCGGAAGAGCTCCCGCAGGGCGTCGAGTTCTCTCGTGGTGGAGGCGAGGCTGCTCTGCGACAGGGCCAGCTGATCTCTCAGCTGCTGGATCGACATATCGCTGGCGGCGACGGTGGCCGCCAGAGATTCAACTTCTTGCTGCTGCTCTTTGAGCACTTTCTTGACCTTGCCGTTCTGCCTCAGGACCATGTCGACGACGACCTCGTCGACGACGTCCCCCGTTTCCAGAACGATTTCCTCGTCTGAGTCGCCATTGCTAACATGGAACTTGGCAGAGCCACAGCTGTCGGGGATGCTGTCCAAATCGTCGTTGTCTTCTTCGATCGCATCTAGCCGACCTACCAAAGAACCAGAGGCCGCCTTGGACTGCAACGGTTTCCTCGAGGGACAGAAAACGGCATTGCCAACCTTCCAAAACCTATGTTTCAAAGAACAAAAAACACAATGAACAAACAACAAAAAATGACACATCAGTGGAAAGAGTGTGTTCATACCGTTTGGTACAAATCGACTCCTCCTGGTGCCGCTCACCATGGTCAGAAGGCGCGAACGGCAACTCGGGATCGAGCTGACAGACGCCTCCTGCTCCAGCGTCTCCTCCCTGAGGCGGGCCACCTCCAGCATCGTCTTCAAATCTGATACCTCGTTCTCACGAGCCTGTTCTTTTTCCAGCATCTTCATCCGCAGCTCGGTCAGCTCGCTCAACATCGCCCGATTCTCGACGTGTGCATTGTTCAAGTCCACTCTCACGTTCTCTTCACATTTGGCTGCAATCTGGCTGGGGTCGATCTGGACTTTCAAATTGGAAATCTCCTTCGCGTGCGTTTCTTGCATGCTCGCCAGACATCTCACAACGACGTCCTTCTTCTCCTTCGCGTTCTCCTCCTGCTGCTCTGACGTCAAAAGCTGTTGTTTCATGACGACCATCTCCTGGTTTAAACGCCTCTTCTGAATGAGTAAACTCTTGGCAGCATCGATCTGAACGTCATCGATCTTTTCTTTCATTTGTTCAAGCTCTTTCTGCTTGGTAACCTCCAGCTGCTCAATCATTCGTTCCGCAGACAACAGCCTCGCATCGGCCTCTTCTTTCGCTGCCCGTGTATCCTGTAGAAGCTGCAGCGTCGAAGACTTGGATGGGTCCGTCTCATCAGCCTGGAAAGCGGCAACCCTGTCTCCCGACGAATCTCCACTAACCAAGCTGGAGGTGGCGGTTTGCCTTGGCCGCGGCCCGCTTCCATCGCTCCCCACCTCCGACCTCGTGTCGATGTTGCTTGATCGTTCGAGGTGCTCTATGACCGCCGTTGCCTCAACTATGGAGTCCCTCTCCTCGCTGGCAACAGCCGAGTTGTTGCCGCAGCTGCTGCTGCCACTGCGATTGACGAGAAGCTGCTCTGCCTCCGCCAGGCTCTCCACCAGGCTGCCGCTTGCACCCTGTGAGGCCATGGCTCGACGACAAGACGAGAGCCGCAGGGAACGCGCTCACATGGAGTCCCCTACGACTGCGCACCAGTGCGCCCACTCGAGCCAGAATGGAAAGAGATCCAGAAAACGACAATGCACATCGCATGCCTCGAGAAGTAAGAAAACACGCGTGCCGCCCCTTCGACTTCGCCGCGCGTGAGTTAATCACGCGCTTGCGGTCTGGAAAATTAGCGGTTTCATGACTATTGTTGCGAATCAGCGGTTACGTACTTGAACCACTTTACCTCTGCTGCCCCCTGATCCACGACGCGTGGCGAGCAAGGGGGACGCTGAACCATGCAATTCAATGGTTGGCAGCCCCGTCGACGCCAGTCGACGGCATCCTTTGCACGACACCTCTCTTGACTGGCTGATCAGGGGGCAAGCATTAGGTCGGGCAGGACCTCCTACAGGCGGATTGTGAAAGAATACTTAAAAATAGTCACAAGAAAACCGAAAATAGCCAAGAACACGAAAAAACATCCCCTGACAATCTTTTAACTACTCTTGAATATTCCTCCTGCAGAGGGACATGCCCGACATAAAGCCAGCACCGTCCCTACACTGCCACGCACGCGCGACTGCTGATGTCCAGGGCGAACCAGACAGGGGCCGACCAGAGAGCATTACCCAAGAGGCTACCAAATGTTGACGGACGCAGCTCTAGCTACTCCAAAGCCCGTCGTGATTGAAAACAACGCCGGCCCTGAACATGTGTAGAAGGAAAAACCGGCATAAACATAAACTTTTGACGCTCCGCGCGAATTTTTTTGATCTGCGCTGGAGCCCTCTCCCTGCCGCGCGGAGCGCGCCAAGGGCGGCGCCGGAGCCGCCGTCGGTGGGGCCCAACGCAGATCCAAGATAATCTGCGCGGAGCGCCAAAACTTCATGTTTACGCCGTTTCTTCCCCTTCGATCCAAAACCCGTCGTGATTGAAAAACCCGCCGGCCACATGCATGTGGCGGGAAACTCCAACATCTCTTTTTCTGGAACAGCGCCTAAACGACTGGCACGAAAAGGCGCATCGGGACACAACGACGAACTGCACATCTCAGGCTGCCGATGCTTCGATAAATGTACCCAGGCCCCCCGTTCTCACTCGAGGAGGCCTTCCGTTGCGTCAACAGTCCTGCGATGCTCTGTGCCGAGAATTCCTTAGTGCCCACTGAGGTTCTCTCGCCCCGACGGGTCCTGCGCCTTCGGTGAGAAAGGCCTGGTGAGGCTTGGCCGAATCCCCTCGGGTCATGGCCCTGTGGCCCTGGCCCCCACGGGCCCTCGGGCCCTCAGGCCCTGCTCCCGACTACTCCCCGTACGACATCGCATGGGCCCTTGGCCGCGCTGCTTTGTGTTGCTGTGCTGCGCGACGCTGTACTGCGATGTCATGATCGCGCAGCGCGGCGCCTGCGTTGTGTTCTTATGTCCTGTGCTATGCTATACTGATACTGCAACGCAGCGGCGCGCCATGTCATGCCATGATCTGCTGCGCTGTGCTGCGATATGCAGTGACCAGGCACGCACCGTTGCACAATGCGGCGCGATGCTGTGCAATACTGCGCTGCGTTATGATGAATCACAATATGAAAATGCATGCAACACTACGCAAAAATGTGCCGCGATATGATGTTGTACGCAATGTTACGCCACGCTGCGCGTCCATGTGATGCGGTGATGGCGGTTTTGCTGAACCCTCTTGTGTTGGTTGGAACCTCGTTTCTCCGCTGCGACGCGCGCCCCCCCCCCTTCATCCTTCTCCCTCCTGTTTCCTCCCCCCATTCCACCGCTACGGCTGCGCTGGCTTGTGATGTCAGATTGTAACTAGCAAAAACAACCGAGGCGCGTGATTTTAACAAATGTCCCTCTGCTCGGGCGAATCGCGGGGGGGGCACCCGACAAGTGGAAACGCACGGCGTCGGCGCCGGTGCTCAGGGACGACACCCGGCCGACAGCATGAAAGCGATAGGCGCGACGCACGCGGCGCCGTTTCAGCGGAGTGTGACAGCAGCGCTTCCACTATAGCGGGGCGGTTGGGCCAAAATGGTACACACTGGAAAGAAAGAGAAGGCGCGGGAAAGAGGCGCCTCAGCTGGCGGGCGGTGCGACATTGCCACGAAAAAAAAAAATGGGGAGGAGCGGCAGAGGCAGGCGAAAAAGGCTTCCCCTTTTATTTATCCCCCCTCCACCCCCCCTCCATTACAATGTGTCCCACGACGACGACGACAACGACGACAACAACGACGACGACGGCGACGACGACGACTACGACGACGACGACGACGACGACGACGACCACGACGACGACGACGACGACGACGACGGCGGCGACGGCGACGACGACGACGACGACGGCGGCGGCGGCGACGGCAGCGGCTACGGCGACGGCGACGGTGACGGCGACGGCGACGGCGACGGCCAACGACGACGACGACGACGACGAAGACGACGACGACGACGACGACGACGACGACGACGACGACGGCGACGACGACGACGACGACGACGACGACGACGACCAAGACAAAAACGACGACGACCACGACAACGACGACGACGACGACGACGACGACGACGACGACGACGACGACGGCGACGACGACGCACTGCGCATCCCCCAGGGGGGGGAGGGGGATGTTGCAGAGGCCCGCTGTAATCGACGACGACGACGACGATGACGATGACGACGACGACGACGACGACGACGACGACGACGACGACGACGACGACAATTGTGGCGCGTTACTTGTCAGCCTGAAAAAGGGGAGGACTTCGCTTCGGATGTATACCGGCCTAATAACTTCTATACGGAAGGCAACCGTTTAGAGGCTGCGTACACGGGGGTGCACGATGCCCTCGGCGGCGCCCGCGACGACCCCATGCCACGCGATATAAGAAAAAAAAGTGTCGCGCCCCCTGGGGTCTATTCATCAGCCTCGGGGGGGGCATCATTTGTTCATCACATGCTGACAGTACATCATCCCCGTATCAGCACACGTCCCACGCATCGTGGCCCACAGGGAAGTCCACCTGAAGCTCCACTGAGCCTGCACGCACAGCGTAACCACGCCCATTCCGGCAAATACACAGACGCGGTTCTCTTTTCGAGTCGGCGGCAGAAGGAGCACTGAGAGCAAACTGCTCGGCACAATCCAGAAACGCGTTATGCTGGATTTGACAATTGCGGTCCTGAGGGCGCAACCAGATCACAAAGGTCGTCACACACACACACACAAACACACACACACACACACACACTTGTTGCGTCGGCGGCTAAGCAAAGTCACTGCTCTAGCGATGTAGCATTAGTGGGACACACAAAACGTGAACTAAGCCGCGGTGCGCGGGGGAAGAGAGGAGGAGCCCCGCGCGGGCGGAAGGACAAGGAGGCCTGGCCTGGCGGCGGGGCGGGCCCGGGGGCCGGGGACCAGCCGCGGCGGCAGGGCAGCGCACACGCACACACACACACACACACACACACACACACTTCCCCCAAAGACGGGGTGGCAACACCATCGTGGATTGGACGTGGCAGTCGCGCGCGGGGGGAAGCCCAACGGCGGGCAGATGGCGGCGCGCGGACATGCAACGCGCACGAAGGACGGCCGAACCACCCAAGCGGACAGATAGGCACAGGCCCAAGAAGGCAAAGCGCGGTGGGAGCGCTTCGAAAGAGCAAGCTGGCCGCCGTGACGGCGCGGCGTGCGAAAGGCGAAATCCGCGCGACAGCTCGGAAGGAAGCGCCGACTAGCGCGCAGAAAAAGGCCAACGCAGGCACGACGAGAAAGCGGGGCGCCAGGCCACCAGCAAGCACTCCGACGCGGATTGCAGCAGCCGCGTCAGCTCGGAGCGCGCCAACCGAACGACCGCCTCGCCGCTCGCGGCGCTGCCTACGTCCACGAAGAACAACGCCACGGCTAGAGACGGAGAAGAGGAAGAGGCGGACAGCCAGAGGCAGCCAGAAGTGCTGCAAGGGCGCCCGGAGAAGCGAGGCCGAAACTGCGCCGGTCCAGCGCCGGCGCCACCCGCGCAAAACACAAGCGAAAAAAAAGGTGGCAGGCGCCCGGGCGTCGGCGCGAGCCAGCGCGGGCCGCGGGCGCGACCCGGCGCCCACAAGCGAGACCGGCCCCGAACACCCACTCGGGTGGCCCCGCACAGGAATCGCGGCCCTCAGGGGGGCCCAGGCACTAGAAAGCAACTCGGCGCAGATTTTGGTCGTCGCCATGGCACCCAAGAACGCGCCCGATTTTGCGCAAAACGGAAATAAGGCATGTCCATCACATGGCGCCATTGGGCGCCATTGGTCGCGTTCCCGAAATATTTGAGCGCTGTTCGGCGCCCCTGGGGGAGATTGGGCGCCACGCGGGGCTGTTGAACACTAACGGGCGTCATTCCCCGATTTACATGAAACCCAAGCTGAACGGAAACTTCCCGGCCAGGGGGCCGCGGCGCGAAGAAGGGGGGCGCGGCCAGTGCACGCGTTGACCCAGCCGCCGCCCCGAACGAGGCGCCGTCTCGGCTACGAGCCTACACGCTCCCAGTCGACTGCGAGCTCGAAGGCGCGGCCAATGCGAAGTTGGCCGGGCCGCGACGAGATCCCCCCCCCGTGAAAGGCAGCACTGGGTCGCAGAAGGACATACTTGTACGATGCGTCCTCCTCGGAGGCGTACATGCGTCTGACTGTATCATCTGTTACGACCAAACTATAGCGCATCCTCGACGAACCGTAATAGCGGCGCGACGGCCGCGAAAGGGTGGTGAACGACGCGACGGCGATGCACCTTTTGATGGGCGGCGGTGCCGGGGGCCCTGCACGCAGGGCACCTGTCACGCCCAGGAACTCGATGCCCCAGGGTGGTTGCGGGTGGGCCATTCAGAAGCGGCCAAGTTCCTGAGCCCAAATTGCCGCAGACGTCGGGCAAGGAAGAGGACACACATTCGCGCCGGCACACGGGAGCGCATCTTCAGTGAGCCCCCAAAGGTGCGATAGCGGTGAAATTGGGATGAGCGGGGTGGCCGCGACGCCCCATCTATGGGTGACGGCGCTAGGGGCCCTGCACGCACCTGCCACTCCCAGGAACTCGATGCCCCCTCCGCGCGATGGGAATGAAACGCCTGCACAACCGAGCGGGGAGGTAGAAGACCAGGAAATAAGAAGGGGATGCTGGGGCTCCCACCCCGGACACTGCGCGCGTCGGGCGCCCGACCGCCTTCTCACCTCGCTCCTTCCTCCCTCCTCTGTTTCGACATCGCCATCGCTGCGCGCCGCTCACACGCGCGCGGGGGCCGAGAAGCGCGGTCTCGAAGCCCAATCCAGGCACCAAAGGACTCTCCGCGATCGAGGCCCCCTTCCCTCACGGCTCCGAATGGATTGAGGGGGCACCCCCCCGCTGTGGCGGGGCCCACCGGAGGGTGGTGGATCGAGACTGTCCCGCAGGCACACCAGCCGTCGCTCGGAGACCCCCCCTGCACGGGGACCGTCGCCGAGCCCCGCCCAGCACGCGACCCAGGGCGCACAGTCGACGGCTCCTGAACGAGATTGAATTCCGCGAGCGGTCACGCACGCAGCGCGCGGCGGGCGCCGCCTCCCAGGCCGCTAGCGGGCCGCCGCCCCCTCGCCGATGCCCTCTCCTACCGGGGCGCTGCCGCAGCCACTCCAGCTCCGCCCGCGCGGCCTCGCACGCGGCGCGCTGAGCGGGGCTGTCACCACGAGGCGGCCGCCCCCCCCACGGCGGTCGAATCGCGGCGCTCTTCGGTGGCCAGCGCCGTCTCGTCGAGCACGTGTTCCTTCAGGTCCGCGGCCGCCACGCGGATCCCAACAGACTCGTCGAAGTCCGTCGCATTCACGTTGCCGGGGTCGTCCGCCTCCTGGCCCCTCTCAGGCGGTAGCCGCTCCAGGCCAGCGCCTTTTGAGTGGACCCAGTTATTCCGAGAGCTCGGCGGCCGCCAACGGCCACTAATCCGGCTTGGCCTTGGATGCTGCATCGGAATTCCCCAAGTTGTCCGTCGGCCCCGTCATCTCTAGGTTCGCCCCCAGAAGGAGCTCCCCAGGCCTCGTGGGCGGCTCCGTGCCGGGGAACGTGCCGAGAAGCTCCAGCGCCGCGAAGACCCTACTCGGGCCGTCCGCCCTTCATCTCGCTCAGCCGGTGCGCCTCTCAGGGAACGAAGAATGACGTAAACACAAGAACCCGGAGGTCCGAGTTTTTATGTTTATGTCATTATTCGTTCCCCTGGCCTCTTTCTGGGGTGTGAGGTTTGCGCAGTACGCGAACGGCACGTAGAAGTGCGAGCCCCCCAGTCCGGCAAGAGCCATCGGCACGACGCTCAGGTCGACGCACCACGCGGCAGAGGGTGCGATGGCGAGGGGCCACAGCGAGTAGGCGGCAACCAGCAGCGCCTGTGCCAGCCTTCGGCCCCAGCGGTCGGAGGCGGCGCCGAGCAGAGGCGTCGAGAGCTGCGCGAAGAGGCCCCTGAAGGCTATCGAGGTGGTCACCCAGAGGTCGCCATTTTCATGGTGCCCCCTGAGGACGGCCCTCTGCCAGAAAGCCGCGGGACCGACAAAAGTGCACCAGAAGAGGAAGACGCTGAGCGCCATCCAGGCAACGGCCGGCTGGATGCAGGGTCGGATGCCAGGCTGGAAATCTTCACGTTCACCATCCGTGGCGATGGGCGTGGACGTTCGACACCACCAGCGCCCCGGCAGCCACTCCACAGACGGCCGCTTTGTTACTGAGCTCGCTGGGGAAAAGCCCCCATCGGGCTGGCACTCGCCAGAAGTGAGCCCTGCGCGCATCGTGACAGCACACACTGAGCCCGGTACGCCCAGAATGGGCCTACTCGCGCTACTGTCCTGGAGCTAGACAGCTCTCTGCAATCATTCAGGTCCCTTGCTTGCGTGTCCTCTGCACTGGTACATGAGCAATCGCTCGAGCCAGCAATGGCTACAGAATTCGCGAAACTGCTCATCTGCCACGCTTGCAAGGGGCTACCCATTGAATGAGACACGTCCAAAGCAAGGGCACTGACGAGGATTTGGTTGATCACAAAGATTTGGAGCCCTGTGCTTCATACCTCCTGTCGACGCGTCCTGTCCCCCCTCCCCTATTTCGCCGCTTCACTCATGCCTCGTGCAAGAAGCTTTAAACATCTGGCTCCTTCAAACCCAGCAATAACAATACCTGCTGCCATGCCCCATACTTGCATGGCGGCTGCAGGGGCCTAAATCTTCACCACGTTTCCGTCGCAGTGCCCCGAGGCACGAAGTGGAGTGCCCTCAGGTAAAGGGTGAAAAGAGGTAGGCGTGCTGGTGGCCTTGCCTCTGCCGGCGCGCCAGTGGTGCGCAGCCCAAAGGTATCTTGAGAGCCTTTTGCACCTGGCATTCGAAGCCTGGGCCCCCCAGTTGCCGTGGCTCCTGGGGTGCGGCTACCGAAGTGCGTCGCGGGGGGGGGGCCTATGTGGATATCTGCCCGCCCACGCGGGAAGCCAGATATCCGCCTCCACCATTCCTCGAGATCTCAGGGCACGACTCCGAAGCGGTGGAAATAGACATGTTCTGGCGACTCCCGCGAATTGGGGACGGGAATGATCTCGTGATAAGATTGGCTCAGGACACGTTCCAGAAATTCCAGAACATCTAGCGGCCCTGGTTTCTGCTGCGTGGAACATTAGGGAATTCGGGAAATCCTAGAGATCCTGCTCCCAGAACGTATCATTATCATGACCTCTTGCTCTTCTGGGGATTCTCGCATGAATTTCCTGAGGCCAGAGGGGCCCCGAGACGGCCCAAGAGGGCCCCAGGACGGCCCAAGAGGGCCCCGTGAGACGGCCCCGCGCCCTGGGGCGCCCCAAGACGGCCCAAGAAGCACCTGGGGCGCCCCATGAGGATCCGCAAGAGGCAAAACAGTACCCCCACGTCGACCCCAAATAGGAATGCACGAACCACGCGAAAAAGAATGGACGACATCAGCAGCAACAGCATCAGCAGAGCCAGCAGAGGTCTCGGAACGCACCATCCTCGTGACCAGGTATGGACCCTTTATGCTGAAGCGCATTTGGCGAATCACGGATGTTCTAAAGGTTTGTCTGATGATGTTAGCGGTATCGCCTCTTCGGGCTTCCGACACTCCGAAACGGCCTGCGAGGCCCCCAAGACCGCCCCCAAGACGGCGCCAAGAGTCCCGAAACCCCCACCAGGGCCCCGAACCCAGGAGGACCCCGAGACAGCCCAAGAGGCCTCCAGAAGCGCCCGAGGACCCCAGACCTTGCCCTCGAGAGCCCCCAAAGAAGCGCCCAGGAGGCCCACCAGAGGCCCTCGAGAGGCCACGGGGCCTCCCAAGAGGCCTCCCAGGCGACCCGAACGGACCCCGAAAAGGCCTTTGACCCACAAACCCGGGCCAAAGCGCGAAGCGCGAATAACTTCGCGCTCTCGCGCCGCCCTCCCAAAGGGAGAATAGGAGGACGAGGAGGAGGAGGAGAAGGAACGAGGACCGCGAAGCGCGAAGCGCGAATAACTTCGCGCCCTCGTGGGAGCCCTTGTCTTTCGCTGACTGGAACCATCGCGCGCGTTTCGCGCGCTCAAGTTGTGCTTGCCATGGGGCCCGGCGTGTGGCGCCCCAGAGAGGCCGTGTCCGGACGATCGGGCCCGTGGCTTGGAAGCCCACGCGCTGGTGGCCGAGGTCGCACTTCGGCGGCGAGCGAGGGGGGGGAGTGAGAAGGAGAAGACCCATCTCAGAATGCGGCGGGACTTCTCAGAAGCCCCCGTGCCTTCTGAGAAATTTGCCATGTCTTTGGGGAAGGATCCTAAACTTCTCATAAGGTCAGTAAACTTCCGAGCCTTCTGAGGAGGCCCGCCCCTTCTCACTTCCCCCCCCTCGCTCGCCGCCGAGCACTGAGGCTCGGCATTCGGGCTAGGATGGGTGTGTGCCCACATCCGAAGCAAGCTCTGCAGCAAAGGGTCTTCTGGGTTTCGCCCCGCTGCAGTCCTCTGCATGCGCTCTCCCCAGTGGTCACATACTGGACCACCACCCCCTCCCCCGGGCGCCTGCACGCGTGCAAATACGTGCCGAAATGCAGGCGTACCAATTTTTTCCGTCGGCGGCGAGGCAGAGGCAGTCCGCTCCAGCGTGAGAGGGACCTTGGAGGGAGGGTGGATTCCAACATCGTTGATGGCTCGTGGGTTTACACTGGTCCTCCTCCTCCTCCTCCTTTTCCTCCTCCTCCTCCTCCTCCTCCTCCTCCTCCTCCTCCTCCTCCTTCTCCTCCCCCTCCTCCTTCCAGGACAGGGTCGGGACAGGATGGGAGACTTAAGGGGGGATGAACAGCGAGGGGCCCTCTGCGAGGGCCTCAGGAGATGAAGGAAAAACTAGGGAAGAAACAGGAGGAGGCGGGAGGGAAGGCTAGAGAAAGGAGGAGCCGTGGAGGAAGCGGCACCGAGAAGGCGAGCGGCAGGGGTTCGGCCCACGTCCAGGTATCCGACGGCGGAGCCTACTGAACGCCTCTTTTGGGGCGCCACTCGTACGCATATGACTAGTGGAACCCTTGAGCCTCCGGAAACTTGAGTCAGATGATGTCAAGCAGGAGCTTGGGCATGAGGTAAAACATGTCCTCCACCCGTGTAACCGTGTAACTGACAGGCATGTCGAGGCCATACTTTGCGAGGAAGACTTCAGCGGAACGCATAGATCGCCTAACCGACAGGCCACGTCTGATGGCGCGACCAGGAGGACCCATACAGCAGAAGGATACGGGACGGAGAAGGAGCAGCAGCAGCAAGAGAAGGCAAGCAAGAGGAGGAGCAGGAGGGATAGGAGCAGGGTGACTTTGGCACGCTTACGACTACGTAACAGCCGCTCTACTTGCCTGCGCATGTCACCAGTGATTACCTAGGTATGGCCACAATCCTCTGAAAGATTGGAGACTGGGTGCGAACGTCCGCAGCTGCTGGATCATGGACCACACGGGAGGGAGTACGCCGATCAAGGCACTGGCCGCCATGCCGGCTCTGAGACGAGTCACGAGTTGAAAAGCGTCCCAAAACCCCTTCGGGTCTATCATAAAGCCATCCCTGACCCGAAGGTCCCTCGAAGCGGTCTTATGAAGAGAAGGTGAGAGAAGTGGATGCAGTGGACAAGGAGGAGGCGGAGGAGAAGGAAGGGGAGGAGGAGGCGGAGAAGGAGGAGGAGGAGGAGACGGGGATAGAAGGGAAATGGAGAGTGGAGGGAAGGAGAGGGAACAGAGGAACAGGAGGATGGGAAGGGGAGGAGGAGGAGGAGGAGGAGGAGGAGGAGGAGGTGGACAAAGGAGGCGGAAGGGAGAGAGCACGGGAGGAGGAAGGAGCGCTGGGCTCAGGAGAGACTGCAGTGGCGCCTTCAATGTCGTAGTAGCCGACATAGCGGAACACGCGCAACTCACACTCGGGGCCGGCAGTAGGCATTCGAGGCACGACCAAGCAAAAGAGGGTCATGCTCGTGCGCCTCCTGGTGCTCTGGCCCCTTCCTATTACACCTGCTGTTTCCTTACTCCCAGGATGCAAGCTGGCCACTGGAGCTGTAGAGATCACAAACAAATCCCTCAGTTTCATGAAAGGCAATGCTCAAGGGGCTGACTGAAGCCACGCCCGATCAACGAAGACGCCCGTGCTCCATCAGAGCCTGCCAGCACAGAAGGTCGGGCACTGCGAAGACACGGTCGTGCAAAGTCGACGGCACAAAGAAATCAAAGTGTGATCCAGAATGGCCAACACTTTTCCTACGGCAGCGTAACCCGATGAAGCAAGCAAGATTGGCCCCACGAAGCCCCAAAAGGTGCCCCAATACGGCCTCAGGACGGCCCCAGAGGCCCCCTTCCCAGAGTTCCACAAGCGCGGCTTCAGTCCGCCTTTGTTGCTCAAGAGTTCACAACAGAGGCATTCCCAAAAAAATCAGGGGAGTGGCTCTGGTCTTCCCACAGGGGCGCTCGGCAAGCTGGATATGAAAACATTGGTTGGCCCTTCCAAAATGGTCCCACAAGCCGTTCGCCCTCGGCCTCTGACCTGGCATAGCTCGCAACTGAACCCCACCCCCGTCGGCTTTCGGGCCAAGACAGCCCACAAGCCGTCCAAGATGACCCGAGCTGCGCTCAAGTCAGTCCAAAACGACCTGGAACTCGTCGTCGTCGTCCTCGTCCTCGTGCGTCGTCGTCGTCGTCCTCGTCTTCGTCCTCGTGCGTCGTCGTCGTCGTCCTCGTCGTCGTCCTCTTCGACGACGACGACACGATGGTCCACGACGGCTCCTCGACGGCCCAAGACGGGCAACGAGGGCTTCAAGAGGACCCCCTCGAGGGCCTCGAGAAGCAAAACCAACTCGAGGGCCTCAAGAGGACCCCCTCGAGGACCTCAAGAGGACCCCGTCGAGTGCCTCAAGAGGACCCCCTCGAGGACCCCCTCGAGGGCCTCACGTTGTCGCATCGTCAGACCTCCGACAGCTCAAGACGGGCCAGGAAGCCCCCGAGATCGCCCAAGAGAGCCCAAGAGGCCCCGAAGGGGGGCCCTGGACTTGCCCAAGATGGGCCCAGGACGGTGGTGGAAAACACGCTCATCAAAGAAGACCCGAGGGCAGGCCCGCGATCGCCCGCAGGAGGGCCCCGCGCAGGCTTCCCCCGCGGCGCGCGCGGGGCCCCGCCGCCTGGCGGAGGCGGCAGAGCCCACCGCCGCCCCCCACCTCGGAGCCGGGACTTCCGATGCCACCAGCCCGCTGGGCGTAGGTCTTCGGCGGCAACTCCTCCTCCTCCTCCTCCTCCTCCTCCTCCTCCTCCTCCTCCTCCTCCTCCTCCTCCTCCTCCTCCTCCTCCTCCTCCTCCTACGGGGGGGGCCGTCTGCGCGGCCCGCGGCGGGCTCCCCTCTGGCGCGGGCGGCGGCGGGAGCCTCGCGCACCATCTCGTCGGCTCTCGCGAGTC